CTTCGTGGGACAAAACCTCTTCATTTATTTTCCAAATAAAAATGTCTTGCAGGTTTCAAGTAAGATCACAAGCAGTGTACTAAAAAGTTTAACTATAAGATGTTCTTCCATAGCAGTGGTTCTCAACTTTCCTAATGCCAAGACCCTTTAATACAGTTCCTTACGCTGTGGTGACCCCCAACCATAAAATTATTTTTGTTGCTACTTTATGGTTAGGGGTCACAACATGAGGAACTGTATATAGGGTCGCAGCATTAGGAAGGTTGAGAACCACATAAACCCACCTTAAATCTCCTAAAAGTAAGTCTGCCATTTGCTCAGAGGAGATAAATATCAAAACACACACTTAGATTACCTTTGTAGTCTCTCTACTACATGGGGCTCATAGAACAAAGTCTAAAAGGACCAATTTCGTCACTTCATAGGTCAGTGACACAGCTTTGAAAAAGAGGAAAAACAGTCCCCCTAGTGTACTGCTGCTGTAGAAAGAGGAAGTACATTAGCTGAGAATCACTGATGAAGACAGCACTGCCAAAGGAAATTACAAAATTGCATTTTGGCAACATGGGCTAAGCAGACAGATTCTTCACACACCACCATAACCAGCTTTTTGGTGAGTTACTCCAAAAAATGACTGAGATCAAAATTATGATCCAACATAGAATTATGACTTTGTTATAGTGAAATTAAAAAACTTTCTTTTCCATTTTTTTAAACTTTATTCAAATTAATATGAGGGTACAATATTTAGGTTACACCGTTCTCACTTCCAGGGTAAAGCTGCATTTGTAGAAGAGCCCCGCACCCATGGGGTGTGTTATACACCCTCACAATGTGTATGTTAGGTGAGATCCCACCTCATGCCCTCCCTCCTTCTACCATATGTCCTCCCCTTCCCACTTTCCTCCATCCCCGAACTGGACTATTAATAGTGTTTCATTGTTCTTAGAAACATGTAATTGTTTATGTATTGACTTCATATTAGTATGGAGTGAAATTAAAAAACTTTTAAACAAAGTTGCACTTAAAATAACATTTTCTTCATACAATATGTTGAAAAGGAACTGGATATATTAATCTAAAAAACAGGAACAATGAGAACCTAAATAAGCATTATGTGGCAGGTCAGCCCTCATCTTTTTACCTTGGCAAAAAGTCGTAATAGTATATATTCTTACATGCAAGAAGACTCAGATTCTTGAAGAATTATCCTCTGCAGCAGATGCAGAAGTCTTACACAGTACTCCACATTTGTGAAATTGTGGAGACTACCACCATAGAAACTCAAGGCTGCCTACATGATCACGCCTTGACCCAAGGGAAATCCAAGTGTGCGGGTACCTATGGAGGAATAAGAGATAAACAGGCCTTACCTGATAAACCTGATGTCCTTAGAGGTCTCCCCAAGACAAGAGGAACTGAGAAAACTCACTAGTTCATTTATGGGTATAGCACAAGTGAACTTAATCTGAATTAAAGGAAATGTAACCTTTTCCCCTGTTAACCACATCTGATTATTCATTTCTACTTTAATGCCTGAGGTAAGAGAACCTGTGAGATAGCCATCATCCTCCCTGGCACAGTATGCATCTGACAAATTCAAGTTAACAAGGGCTTCCTGCTTTTGTTAAAAGGCTATTTTTCTTGCCTCATTTATCACTTCATAGTTCCAAAGCCCCCATGATGATAGGACAGCTATACAAACATGATGCCCTCATTCAACCTCCACCAACGTTCACCTATCCTTCTGATGCTGGAATAATAACCAAAATGTTTGTAGGTTGAGAGCAAAACATGCTTTTCAGGAAAGCAACTTCTACTTACACAAAACTCATTACTTAGTAAATGACCTTTAAAAAAAAGATCAATTTAAACAATAGAGAAAAAGTATATAGCAAAGACCTTCAGAACTGTGGCTACTAATTACATCTCTAATAGCTAGCTGTGTGATTTTAGAAAAGCCATTAATTTCCTGAAGAATCAGGTTCTTCACCAGTAAAACAAGGGGATTGAACTAGATAAGCGAATTTCACACTGGGTATGCATTAGAATCACCGAAGAAACTTAAAAAAAAAAAAATGCTAAGCCATACATGAGCCCAGTCAAATCAGATTCTCTAAGTATGTGTTTATTTAAAAGCTCTCAGGTAATTCTAAGATGCAACCAGGGCTGAGAACCACTATTCCAGATTCTGATCTCCAAGACCTCTTTTCTAAATCTTTCACTCAGTGATGTCAGGGTGATAATTCTGGTTACAGGATCCCATAATGCAATGACCCAAACAGCCACAAAAGAAGGCCTAGACTATGTGTGCCATACCTTTTGGGCACACATAACTAGACATTAACCTGAATTCTAGACATTTTTAGAAGTTAAAAATCCTAATGCATAACTCAGAATAAAAGTAGTGTGGTTTGAATGCACACGCATGCTTCCAAAATGACTAATCACAACAAGAATCAACTCCTCAACTTGGATGCATGGAAATGGGTCAAATTAGCTCCTGACCTCTCCCTTTCCCCTCTTCTTCCACCCCCACTAAACCACAAGCACAAAAAAGGCTGGCTTTTAGTCATGATGAGAATATGAAACCAGCCCCAGTTTCAAAGGGCCTTCTCCATTATGAAAGATTTGGAAGTTCCTGCATGGCTGCATCTTTTGATGAAGGTCATCTTACAAAAACTCTGACTAAAAGTATATCCCTTTAGTCTTCCAGAATTAGTTGCCACATGACATTCAGAAATGGAATTGGTAAAAAATATTAAAGTAAAAATAATCACAAAACGTGTGCCCTGTATTAAACATATTAAACTCTGGGAACTTCAAGTCACAATATTTCTTAAGATTTTCGTTAAAGAGAGATGAAGGGTAGGATTAAAGAAACTGTGAGACATAAATGGTTTTGACATAAAACCACAAAGTTTATGACTAAGCCCAAAAATCTCAATTGCAAGTCCTGCAAACTATATGGCAACATAACGAGCCCAACTAAATTCACAGCTGCTTCTGGTGCTACCACTTTCTTACATAAATATTCGAAAAAATTCAAGTGTGTTAAACTGCTGTTATTTTTAACCATAAACATAATAGCAAGAAATATTATTTGTGGAATTAATCAGTTTTATGATCTTAAAAATCACAGGAAAATCTTTCGTATGTTAACTTTTTAACTAAGTTAAATGTTGCCTAACAGATTCCCAAATCCAGATGTTCAGGACTAAATTTCAAGTGTGAGAAATCTGAAAAATATTCCAAATGCTCAAATCTATCTTTTCTGGTCCTGTATACTCACGCCTCCCTGACACTGTATACGGAGATTAACTCATGCCATCTGCTAGACACCTAGTTTTAAAAGGTATCACGTTAGCACTTGCTTTGACATAAGATCAACTAACTTTCATTGTTTCTGTAAAGAAACCTCATATTATACAGTTGTATACATATTATACAACTGTCACTTCTTTGTAAAGCAAAATTAGACCAAATGTAAGATTCCTAACGTCAGCATTTGTTAAAGGAAATGAAAGAGATCTGTAGAATATCAAAGCACACATTTTGCTTTTAAAGTATTTTAAATGAGGCTTCTCTAATAAAAGCCATTAAATAAAAAAAAAAACAGGCAGTTTGCAACGTTTTTCTAAAAACAAATTAAACGTTCCCTACACTAAAGACTAGCTTTTTTGTATTCAATTGCCTACTAAGATTAAACTGTTCTTACTTTTACACCAACTGGAACCCAGAAAGACAGAGGGCTCCTCGAATGGCAATGAAGGGGAAAAAGGAGAAAGCAACTCCCTCTTTCATAAAAAAAAAAAAAAAAAAAAAAAGGCAACAAAACTGCAAATAGGAGCAGCTGATAAGCAAAGTCTATCTCCAACTGCGACGCGACGTGTATTTCCCAACTGCGCAGGACTCTCTTCTGCCTGCTTCTGACACATTCCTATCTGGGAGGAAAGGAGCAGGGAGGTGCCTAGGAAGGGCAAAGCAGCTGGGTATCAGCAGCCCAGCAGGGGCAGAGGAGTTAATCTCTTTGGATACCCAACTGCAGGAAGTCATTACATCATAGGCCTTTCCACACCTCTCTCCCTACCACGTGTCCGGTGCCCCAAGAGGCCGAAAAGGAAACGTAGAGTCTCTCTTCAGGTTCTCTTACAGGTAGATGCCATTATGGCCCAGCCTAGCCTTCAAAACTCCCCCTAACGTCCTAAGCGGACAGCAGGCCCCGAGTGTCCCCCGCCTCAAACCGTGCCACAGTCTAGGCCTCGGCGGGAGCAGCAGTTACAGCCAGTCGGTGTTGAGGTGGCCAGGCTGGCTCGTTTGAGGTCCCAGAACATTTCAGAAGCTACTTGAGGGCAGGTTTACTGGAATGAAATCTCTGGAGAGCAAAGGTGTCAATAGAGGCAAAGGAAAAGAACCAGGAAAAGGTTTTGCAACCATTTGCTTTTTCGAATCCGGTCGATGTGCCTGTGGGAATTAACACGCACAGCCAAAACCTGGACCCAAGGGTTCTCATTCAGCTAGTGACAACGCATCATGTTCCTGCAACCGACTAGGAACCAGACAGCCAATCCTTCCACTGGGTACGAGTCCCAAATACTCCCTTGCACTCCTTCACTCTATTCACAGAGCCTTCATCCGACCCCCACTCGGGTAAACTTTGTTCCAAAGTTGGCCGCGGACCCACCTCCTCGGCGCTGTCGGAGAATCTGGCAAATTCACTCCCGTCTGTTCGCCCTTCCCTCGCCAGCGTCCCTGACCTCGCTCCTCACCTCCCCATGCCTGAGCTTCCGCGGGAGCCTCTTTCCCCCGCACCCCGCGCCCGTCCCCAGGTGCCCCTGCTTCAGGAGTCAAAGATAACCCCCAAAGACTCACAGCGGAGGTCCCCCCCCCCGCCAAACGCTTTCTTGGCGCCCGCATGAGCGCTCGGACGAATCCAAAGCGCATCTCACGTTGCGCAGGAGGCCCTGCGGTCCAGCCGCCAGCCTGGGGTGGGTACGCACCTTCCAGCCGGCAGAGCTGTTGCTGTCGCCCTTATCCTTGAAGTAGGGCACGCAGCGCACCATCCACTCGTAGATCTGGGACAAAGTGAGCCGTTTATCCGGGGAGCTCTCGATGGCCCGGGTGATCAGGTCGGCGTAGGACAGGTTCCCCCAGGCGTTCCTCCGCGACGAGCATTTCCTCGGCTGTCCAGAGCCCCCAGCCGCCCCCGGCTGCGGCGGTGGCAGCGGCTGCTGAGGCTGCAGTGGCGTCTGAGTTCCCCCGCTCAGCGCGCCTGCCGCGGGAGCTGGCCCGGACCCGGGGTCCTGCCCTCCGGGAACCAGCAGCCGGGCCGAGTCCTCAAGGAGCAGCCCAGAGCATAGCACGCCGCTCCCGCCGCCTCCTATCACCATGGCCGAGCCGGCACGGCCACCGCCGTCCTCATCGTCTTCGTCGTCCTCCTCCTCGGGGATCATAGAGTCGGCGGCCGTCTCCCCCGAGGGCTTGGCCGGACTCGCCTGGAGCTCTGGCCTCTGCAGGGGCCACGTACAGGAGCGCGGCCGGCTCTGGGGCTCGAACTCCGGGTCCAGCTCCACTTCGAGCGGAGAGAGCAGGGCCGGGGAGGCCGGTGCCTCTGCCATCTTCTCCGCCCTCCCGAGGCTCCGGCTCTCGCGCTCTCCTCTTGCGCCGGGGCGGGGTGCGGCGGGGGAGGGACGTGGGCGCCGCGAAGGCTCCGGCTCCCGGGCGCCGCCGCCGCCGCCGCCTGGGGAAGCACGAGAGGAAAGAGAAGGAGAGTTGGTTATCCCGGGCCGGAGCCCAGTCCTCAGCGAGTCCTCGCCCTCCGCCGCTGCCGCTTCCCAGCCGCACCGCGCCCGCCTCCCAGCATAGGCAGACCTGGAGACGTGCGTCCAGCGAACCTGGCGCAGCAGACACCGCCCCCAGGCCAGGCCGCGGGGGAGATGAGAGCGAATCGACGGCCTCGCACGGGGCAGCCCCTCCCCCCGCCAGAGCTGCAGGTCCCTCCTGGGCTAGGTGCTGGGCGGGGAAGAAGGGGGAGGGGCGGGCCGCGCCTTTAAAGCGGGCAGCGGCCCGAGCTGGCGCAGCAGAGCTGCGGTCGGAGCTTCAGCCCGGGCGTGCGTGCGTTTGTTTATGTTTCGCTCCTGCCTGCTCTAGTGCTTCCCGCGGTGCCGCCGCCAAAGTCTGTGGCGTCTTCAGCTCTTCTCCCCTTCTCTGGCCCGGCCTTCTCCACCACCCCTTACTATCCGCCACCCCCTTACTGTCCCCCACCCCCATCGCCCCCACCTAGCCAAGTGGCCAGAGCCCGGGGACAGCGCGGGCAGCTCCCCTCTTCGCCCGCGAGCCCAGAGGGAGAACGTGGGGCTGGGCACAGATGGGCCCTTGTCACTTCCGAAAAACAGAAAAGACGGAAAGTAAGGGGACACGCAGCCCAGCGGGTATTCGCAAAGGGTCGACCCCGGCAGGAACAGCCACTTCGGGGTTTTGTGTGGTTTATATTCTCGCGGACGTTGTACCCTCCGCCCCCTTCCCAGTCAGGAAGGGCGGGCGGTGGGGGTGGGGTGGAGGGAGCAAGTCGGAACATAAATCTTCCAACAGGTCGGGAAGCGCCAAGTCTCCCGGGTTGCGAGAAAACCCGGACCTGCCCGTTCATCACCTCCTTGCTCCCGCTGCTGCCATCTTGACAGTTTCCCCCCTTCCCTCAAGTCCTTTAAAAACACTAGCGGGAGAGAAGGGGGGCGCGCACACCGAGTCACGGGGAAGGAAAAGGGAAGCGCCTGGCCCAGCTCGGAAGCAGATCCGGAGTCACCGGGAAGGCGGCCGCTCGCTGCACAGCTCCGGCGCATACCTCGGTTCCTTCCCTTCAGGGACGAGGCGGGACGACGCACAATCCCGCGCGGGCCCGGGACACGGCGAGGAGGAGGCGCGCAACCTCGGCGAGGGAGAAGCGCTCGGGCCGCCGCCGCAGCCCGCCCGAGTAACCGCCTGTCAGCTTGCCCACCGTCGCCTTCCACATTCCTCCTCCTCCTCCTTTCCACGAGCAGGGCGGCCGCGGCAGCAGCACAAAGTTATAGACACACGCAGGGAGCCTCAACCTAAGCTGACGGCGGGCGGGTCCCCGCCCAGGGGGAGGGCTGGGGCGGCGGGCCCGGGTGTGCTCGTGTGTGTGCGTGTGTGAGCGCGCGTGTGTGCGCTCGCGCGCCTGCGCGGCTGGCCTCCGCGGGGGCTGCGGGCGTGGGTGTCGGAGCGTGGGCCGAGGGCTGGGACTCCGCCGCGGTCCCCGCTAGGCTTCTCCTCCTTCTTGAGAGCCTCAACTACAACAAAAGCACGGTGCTGGCAGGGGGCGGGCAGGCGGGCGGTGCGAGATGAGGGGAGTGAATGGGAGGAGGAGAGGCGCGACCTCAGAGCCCCAGACGCTCCAAGTACCGCGGGAGAGTGGCCTTGCTGACTTGGCTGGGGCACCTGGCAGTACGGGGTCCCTCGACCTGCGTGTCTGCTCGCTGGGCTCTGGGCCAGCCCTGGTGTCCGGTTTCTGTCTAAAACTAGACACCAGGTAACACCCGAGATAAGATGCTGACCGTAGATGGCAAAGGTTACCCTGCCGTGGAAATACCAGCGGAGACGTTGGTACTTATGGAACTTCGATAAGCCGATGCCCACAGATTTGATCAGACACCAAAAGGTTTGCATGAGTCTCATACCTTGCACGCTTGACCACGATCGCGTTTCACTTTTCCTGGATTTGATAGCAGACGGGGGAGAGATGCAGCTAACTCGGGGGAAAAAATGCAAATTATTCCCCTGTCCTAAACTCAAGGGCAGATTCCAAACAACTGGGAGAGGAAATGATTACATTCTAATTTGTAAATGACGATAAAACGGCTGATTGTGCATTCTTTTACTTTTTAAAAACTATGTCCCCTTAGGTTTAGAACACCTTAACGAGTCCTTATGCTACAATCCGTTCATTTGTGCACAAAAGAATCTACTACGTATGACATGTACATCAAAAGTCCATCCACTTTGGTTCATAACTAATGCTTTTATTTTTAAAAAGTCTTTCCGAGGCACTGGAGATATTTCAGAGTCTAGCAACGGGCTCCGCAACAATCGGCGATACAGAAAGGTTCTCCCGGCCGGCTCCGGGCTCCGGGTTTTGCGCAGGGCCCGTCACTCAAGTGACGCGCGGCCCCGCCCCTGCACCAAGCTAGTTCGACGCGTACAAACAGATGATGTCATTGTATCCACACGCGCGTGACCCCGGAGCTCTTCGCCGCGTCGCCATTCGCTGCGCTGCTTACCCGTCAAACCACGCCGAGCGCTGACTGGCCGCGGCCACTAGTCTCCAGGCCCCTGACGCCCCTCTCCGCCCTCCACCCCCGCCCCCAGCAAATAATAAACAATCGAGTAAAATTCTGAGGAAGGAAGGAGGGGAGAGAAGAGAGGAAATGGAGAAGCAAACCAGAATCCAGTCCTTCGCTCCCTCCCAGTGGGAGGGCTAAAGGGGGATGTGAGGGCACAGGGGAGGCAGAAGGGAGCAGACCTGGGACGGCAGGCCCCCTACAGGGAGGCGGCGTCGGCGGCGGCAAGTTGGAGAGCACTCGGAGGGCGCGCCTGCGGCTGAGGTGGGCGCTAGGGCCCGGGAGCTGCGGGGCTCGAGGGCGGGACTGAGTCGCGGCGTGGGTGGAGCCGGCGACACGTGCGGGAGGAGGACGGGCGCGCGCCGCACAGGCTGGCGGGCGGCGCGCGGCCCCGGCGGCAGCGCGCGCTTGTTTACCGGCGCACGTGGGTGTTATTTTTAAATGGAATGTAGCGCTGGGAGCCCGGCCGAGTGGCGGGCGCTTGGTGGGGCCTCTTGTGTTGGCTACGGGACGCTGGGATACTCGCGCCGCGGCCTTCGAGCGCTGCTAGCGAGGCAGCAGGGCTGTCCCCACTGTGCGGTGCCAGTGAAGCCGGCCTCCGAGGCCGAAGAGTCTGGTTGCAAGTTTTGCACGCTGCCCAAGGCGCCGCGGGGATGATGGTTTCCCGCGCGGAACGCTGCCTTCTTGGCGCCCAGGCTCGGCCGCTGCATTCACATTCAGGGAACAAAGCCGCCTGCTTGCCTTTGCCTAGGAGGCCGGCCGGCGGCCACCGGTTCTGGAGCAGATCTCGCACACTCACATACTCGCTGGCACCCATTCTTTGGCCACGACGTGTATTTTCAGCACCCTACGTGGTCGTGCCCTCAATTCTTGTTCGAATGCCACCGGTCCACACGTGCCCGTCGCTTGGTCACATTGCCCTGCCCAGGTACAAATGGCGCTTTTGCTACTTCGGTTTGTCTCTGGGAGGGGAATCTGTGGGAGGAGACTCTGCTTACTGGGGTTGCTCCGCTGCCTGAGGCCCCCCTCCACTGGAGGCCTGCACCACTGACAAGCCCGGAGTTTCATTTTGGCTTCCAGCCTGGGAGTATGGACAGTGATGTGTGAACACAGCGCAGCTTTAAGTGCCAATGCTTGGGGCTAGGAATCTTGGGGTTCAGCTTTGTGCAAAGAATGGGGAGGCTGGATTACCCCGGGCTTTGCATCATGATGCAGCTTAACATTCAAAGAATTTTCAATTACTGGTTTTAAATACAACTGTAGGAGAAATCCACACTTTTCTTTCTCCAAATCTAAGCAGTCCTTCGTCATGAAAGTGCAGACCTGCAGAAATAGAACGTGTTTACACTGGCGGGGCTCTAGGCCATTAGATTTTCACTCTAAACATTTTGAAGGTCCATTTACAAAATGCATATCCCAACAGCATTCCAAAAAAGTGTAAGAGTTAAAAGACTCAGTGGATTAACTGAGAGTCTTTTCAGCTTCACAGTGAGGAATGGGGGGCGCGTGATAAATACATTTTCCTCCAAGAGCTTACAGTCTTCACAGAGGGTACAAGACTATTACAAAAGTAAATATTTCAAGAGTTTAAAAGCAGAAGACAAATACCAGAGATCATACATATACTGTTGGGCAAGTTTCATAGAAGTTGAAGCTCAAAAAACTTCAAGTGGCAGTGACTACAAACATGAAGCTTTGTAAACATGATCATCTCTAAATCCTTGTAATTTGTGGCTATGGGCAAACTCTCAAGGACACTGAATCTCAGAGATGGTTCTCTTTTAGCCTGAAATTGGTTTGCCTTTTGCCTTCCTCTTGTAGGCCTCCTTGGTTCTTCTCTATTTCTTTCTACCACATTTTCCTCTAAACTTTTTAGTATAGGAAAGCTGAGTAAGTTATGGTTGTTGGTTGAGAAGGAATGCCAGCATTACCTTTGCGGTAAAATTTTTAGTCAAAACTGCCCCTGCCTCTCACTGATCAATTTTACACCTTATTTCCATGAATGATTTAGGGTGGTGACTGTTCAGTCCATTTTGTAAATTCACTCACTGGAAGAACAAAAATTTAGAATTTTTACCCGAAAAAGAGATGTAAATGGGCAGCGCCTGTGGCTCAAAGGAGAAGGGCGCTGGCCCCCTATGCCGGAGGTGGCGGGTTCAAACGCAGACCTGGCCAAAAAAAATTCCAAAAAATAAATAAATTAGAAAAAAAAAGATGTAAATTGACCATTTCAAATACCTAATCGTTAGGAGGTTGGTAGTAGATGCCAGGGTTCTCCCTCGGAAGGGGCCATACCTCAGCACCTGTGTCCTGGTCCAGTTCCCCTTGCACCAGGTCAGCTGGATCCTCCCTCTGACCCCGCAGCCCAGCCTGTAGGAGTTGGGTATGCTGCCTCTCTACCCACTGTGCTCTTGGGTGGGCTCCTACATCAATTCCAACAATACAGACAGGAAACACAAAGAAGACAGCAAACAGAAAGCCACCTGACAAATATGTGTGACTTGGCTGGAAAGAAAGAAGGATCCCCAATATTCAAGTAGAAAGCTGCTTCCCAATCTGTGTCTGACACCCTCGTTAGTTCCTTTCTCAGCTTCCCCTCTCCTTGCCAAACAGCATACTTGCAACACTTTATTAAACACTGTACCAAAGACCTATGAACTGCTGTTTATCCTGGGGGACGTCATTTTAGGCGTGTCTCATCACCACCCTCTCCAAGTGTATTTGTAGCTCCTGTCCTCTCCTTCTTTGCCTCCTTTAGGTGTGACAAATCTGGGCAAAGCCTTTCCCAGGTCATTATCATGGTTGTCCTATGGTATGTTGTGAAGAATAACCATGTCTAATTTCAGGGGTCAAAAGTGGGGGAATCAAAAAAAGGGACGTCTACCTGAAGTGGAATTGGATAGAAAAGAAATTAGGAAGAATTACGTATTTTTGGTAATTTGAGGTCATTCCAATAGCGAATCTTTCTCACTTGTTATGTTGCACACTGTAAACTGAGCACTTTATTTGCAGCGTCTCACAAAGACCATGTGAGGTCAGTACAGTAGTGCTAAGTGGCATAGGGGTTAAGAATACAGGCTCTGAGGTTGAGTCTGAACCCCTCATTTCCCAGCCATGTGACCTGAGGGTGTTGTTTAACCATCACGCTTTTGTTTGTCATCAGTAAAATGAGAGTAACGCCTTCCAGGATTGTTGGAAGCACTGGGTTAATTGAGATTATGAATATAAAAAATTTACTATCAAAATATGAAGGGGGCCGGGTGCAGTGGCTCACGCTTGTGTAGTCCCAGCACTGTGGGAGGATTGCTTGAGCTCAGGAATTTGAGACTTGTCAGAGCAAGAGTGAGACCCCCAACTCATGAAAAAAATTGAAAAACCGAGTCAGGCACCGGGACAAGCGCCTGCAATCCCAGTGGCTTTGGAGGCTGAGGTAGCAGGATGCCCACAGCCCGAGTCTGAGGTCACAGTGAGCTACGACGCCATTACACTCTGCTCAGGGCATAGGGTAGAACTCTGTCTTGACCAAAAAAAAAAAAAAGTATGAAAGGGAAGCTTTTAATAACAGTGATTCCCCAGGCTTTATCTTGGACCATCTGAGTTAGAATTTCTGATGGTAGGGCCTGGCAATGGTTTGTTTAAAAATGTTTACCAGGTGAATCTAAGGCAGTGAAGCTTGAGAATCCTGAGATAGAAGCCTCTCTGCTGCACACTCCACTGTTTG